ATCTCTGTCATTTAAGAACTATCCACATTTGCTGAAGTTTTAATTCGTGCACATGACTAATTTATAAAGTGAAACAAAGTGTACTTTTAAGACGAACTGCATAATGATGAATGCAGAGGGAAAAAATAGAGAGGAGGTACTAGAAGAACCACATGTGAAAACCATATGGAAGAGTGTTCCACCAGCTTGGAACCAGATGGAAGAAAACATTGTCCCTGGACACTGTACAGAGTCCTACTGATAACACGTGATAAATCATTACACTGAGTGTAAGCAGGAGGGTGAACATCACCACATACCAAGCTGCGCAGGGACAACAGGACCACAAGCTGGAGGACATGAGATAAAAGGACAGCATTAAAAGCTCAGATGTTACCCTCTTGTGTAGATCTAATCTGGGCAATTATCAGCAGGGACAGCCAGAATAGCTGCAGAAAGAATCAAAAGCACAGCAGCAGGGTTTAAATGCACGGAATAAAACCACAACACAGCCAAGTCTGCAATAATGGGAAGCTGAACAGGGATATTGGAGCACTGTTGAGATATTCGTCCCTTCGAAGAAGATATGAACTTAGTCCTGCACCCAAGAAAAAAATCATCTGTGCAACCTTTGGCAAGTCATTTCAGGCCATCTGGAGTCAAAAGGCATCCTCCCATTCACTCCAAGGCTCCATTTCCCAGAGATCCCAAGTCCCTTCTTCCACACTCCTGCCTGCTTGACTTGAGGGCTGTCTGTGACAGCATCTTCCTTCTCAGGAAGGACAACCGTTCCTGACCCGGTTTTGACTGGCTCAGAAGACAAGACAGCAAAATACACACAGATGACACTCAGAAGTGGGTTAGACAGAAGGTGGCTGTGCCTAATAATCAAGAATTTATTTATAGTCATCAGTATCAAAAAGCACTGATGCCTGCAGTAGTTCTGCTCAAGATAAATGGGCCATTACGTTGACGTGGAGCTGCAGATTGCAGATTGACAGCTAGCTAAAGCTTTCCACCCAGCTGAACTTTCCAATCCTGTTTATGGCCTGAAAGGTCATTCCCGGCTGTGACTCCTCTTCTCTTGCCAGTCTTCATTTCTTGTGTCCCAGGGAATTTTCCTATCACAGGGAGGGGAGCCTAATGATAAATACGACTGCTTCATGTCCCCATGTGCCCAATTATCTGTGTAAGCACCAAATGACTTCTCATCCTAAGAACGGTCTGAAATCTCTCTTCCAAGTGCACTGATCTTCTTTTTAATGGTATAAGCCTGCGTAACAGACCCCAGAGCAGGATCGGTCCTTGTGCGCAAACACACACATGGACAAGAAAGCTGACCAAAACACATCTATGCAGGACCACCAAGGATGACCCTAAATTAGACCACCCAGCCACTTTGTTGGCCTTATTTTGAGGGGCCAGAATCTCAGAGCATAAACCAGTGTCCTTGCGCGGGTTCCTTGGCCTGTGTTTTAGACCACTCCGTATCTCCAGTGACTTCCTGCTACTGACCTCTCCTAATAAATCAGCCTCCCTCCCTCCTGGCAACATCCTGTTCCTTCCTCAAAAAAACCTCCCACTCACAATCCCAAGGTTTGATATCAATCTTAAATAAATGCCTCTCTGGACTCAGCTGCATTCCCTAAGCCACCTTATCTCCTGCCTCTCTAGGACGTCTGCGGTTCAAGAAGCATATGCAGAAGCCTCTTAGGCCTGTTTAATTTTAATTCCACACTTGGATCCTCTTCCTTTTCCCCACATTTGCTTACAGAGAAGGAAACTTCTCTTCAGGAGAATGTATACTGCTCAGTGTGACTTCCAAAAGGGAACAATGACAACCCCCAAAAGAGACAGTGTTGCAATTTTCTGTATGAAATACAGTGAAAAGAGAATCCATGGGAGAGGTACTGCTTCATCATCTTCCTTGTTCTGACTTCCCTCACTTCACAGTTTAGGTGAAGAAAGACTTTGTCAATACATCTACCTATTAGAGTCCCTTCTTCAGCATTCAGCACTAGGGGACCATCAGTCTCCTCCACCTTATCTTTCCAATTCCCATTCAAAGTCCAGCTTGAACTCATACACTCATAGAATAGTTTGGGTTAGAAGGGACTTTAAACTAGGGCACCTGAGTCAGGAAAGCACCACCCTTCACTTCCTAGATCACCACTGCAGAAAGCACAGGCACCTACAGCAAGTTAATCAGGACAATGGGGCTCTTGGTCACATCCTTCAGCTACAAAACTTTAGCTAAAGTAGGTTGAACCCAGGTGCTGACACCAGTTATGACCCCAAAAGCCCATGGAATAACTCGCAGCCAAAAGGAACCACATTTGATCCAGCAATTTCTCTTTAATTCTCTATGTCTTTACACTTTGACAACCACAGCAAAAACTGGTTCATGTTGGACTTCATTTAATTTCACTCAGGAATTCTTTCCCCATACATTCTATTACTTCATCACTTCTGTAACCCCTTCTGTCAACATATTTACTCCCACCTTCAATACCTTACGCCTGGTGCCTTGCAGGTTACCACATCCTTCCAGATAATGGTATTACTCAAAAGCAATGAGATTTGCCTGCTTAAATTTCACATTTACAAGGTGATACTAATGCTTTCCTGCTCAAACGCTCTTGTTTTCATTTTCCTTTGCTCTATCCTCATCTTTCCTTGCCTTTCTAGAGTACCAAAATGCCCCATATCATCTAACCAACCCCCTGGAATCCATTTCAAAGAGGAGCTGTTTCTCACTTGAGAAGAATTCCTTGGGTCTCCTCAGACTCGCATCTCTTTTCCTTTAATGTAAGCATAACTAATTCATTAGCAATTCACTTGGTAATGAGCCAATGATCATCTTTAAGAAAAGCAGCAGTGAAACAGCAGATTTCCAAGCTGGAAGAAAAAGCTGGAGAAGAAGCAACGAAAGCAGGCTTTAGTCAGAAACCCAAAGAGGGGTGAATAAGGTGGCATGGCACTCTCCTAAAATGCCCTCAGAGTTTATAAAGTAATCTTATTCCAGCACACGCATCCCTCAGATGCCCTCCTTCCCCTTATCATCCAACTCACTCAACCATGTCACTGACATATGTACTTAGCAGCAGTTATCGTCAGTGGCACATAAATAAATGGCAGGTATCAAAGAATCAAGGTCGCCAACTCGTCATGAATATTTCAGAGAGAAGCAACAAGAAAAGCTCGAGTGTCTGGGCCTCTCAGATTTCCAACAGAAGGAATAAAACCCAAACCACACACACACAGGGTCTGCTGGCTCGGCCATCACATGCACGTAGCTCATTTCAAGGCACTACTACATATGTTCCAAGACAATCTGTCACATTTTAAAAATATATAAATATCTATTCTCTATCTCCTCTGTATAATGTGCAAACTCTAAGCAGCTGGCAAGAGGGCAGTGGTGATTTAATGCAAGAAAACCGTGTTTGCTGAAGGGGCTGCGGACAAGATAGCTTGGGTTGTAACAAGAAGCCTCTTTGACAAAGGCGCAGAGTGGCATCTTTTCACACAATTATATGTGGGTCACATTAACCTCTGCTGTGCAGGATTCCCTTGAGCTGCTTCTGTCTGTGTGTCGCTGCAAAGAAATCCAAGCAGAAATTCCCTTCTCCTTCTCTTTCATCTTCACAGGATTGGGGAATGCAGTGAAAGGATGGAGAGGGAAAAGGGGTTCCCAACCTGTTACACACAAGCTATGAGCGTGAGTTGCCCAGTGAAGCCAGTAGCAAACTCCACACTTTGGGGCCTAGCAGTTCCATTAATGAACCATGTTAATTAATGGCCAGATATGAGATTTCAACCTTTGTCAGTGCACTAGAGTATTTGGATATATGGCTATTTATAGCCAAGGAGACTTTGTTAAGTTTCACTTTCAGCTACAGTAGACTATGTTTAGAAATGATAGGAGTTTTGTTCTGTGGATGGAGACAGGCTTTGGAGATACAAAGTTTATCCTGTCAAGTACAACTCAAATTTTCAAATGGAAACTTCATCAAAAGCACCATAATTCCTTAAACAAAGCAAGCATTTCTTTAACCTCATCATTTGGGTATTCCAGTGTTCTGGCTTTGTAGGGACTTTCTTTATCAGACAGCTCCATTGCTGGGCTGGCAAACTTTCAATGGGATTAATTTACCACTTTCTAGTTCCTTGGAAGTCTGCTCTTTTTATAGATTTTGCCTGTTTTCCCAGGCATCTCACCATATTCTTCATGGTAACTCTGGATTCAGGTGGTTTGATGAGGTATATAGCAAATGATCTTTACATTCCATAATGGATTTAAGTGATGAGGAGAATATCACTGTGGAAACACTGCTTTCCTTTATATTAAAACGGGTTCTTTCTCAATGAACTCATTATGGAAATGAAGGAAACATTCCTTGCAGTGACAACTGACACTTATATTGTCATTCAACTCCAATGATTTTATTCATTCACACATTTTCAATACCAATGGGCTGCAGGGCCCACTTACAAAACATGGGAGGCTGGAAAACCTTTGAAGATGGCTGGAGACTGGGAGATAAGGACATAGACTGAAGTGTCTGCCAAGACATCTAGAAGCAAAGATTAAGGCCAACAATTTTAAAGGCATTTGAGCATTTTTCACCTATTGAGATCAGTTCTAAATCATGGTGAGATAAAAACATGCACCCTGGCATTACCAGAATTGAGCTCACCTTTCACCCTCTGTTGCTCATTTCCCTCCATGCCAAAGTGCTCTTTCCACTGCTTTGTGCCAGGAAAACTCGGTGTGACCAGGTGCTGAAGCAGACAGAGGAGCTTTTCCTGCTTTAAACACACAAACACAAACTAAACCTTTCCCCCCTCAAGTTGGATGGCTCCTCCCATTTGGTTCCCAACCACAGGAGTAGTTGTGCCAGCATAGCAGCAAGTACAAGAGGCCAGGAGACAGCAATGTCTTAAACCAATGTTACCACCAAGCAATTTGTAACAGCAAACCACAGGCTAAATCTCAACTAAAAGCTTTTCAGGTTCAGAGCGAATACCTCTATTAAGATGAATTAAGCAATCCGTGGTGTTCAGAGCTGCAGATTCAATCTTTATCTTCAACACTCACCCCTGTAGCACAAATGGCCTGAAAGAAACCAGCTAGGAAGACCATTAATTCCATGGTGCTGTAGAAGAGGGGTTTTGGTGTGTATTTTGTTTAATACAAAAGCATATCTCTGCAGTGCAGTCAGTACCATAGTGACTCCTCTATACCACAGAGAGACGAGAACTACCTTCAAGTTCCCTAGTGCAGGTCCTGATAACCACCTAGTCTCAACAGCACAGGCTCAGCGTGGATTCTTTGTCCTGACAAGATTACTTGCAAATTAGGTGAGGAGGTCAGAGAGCTGCCCTATCACCACATAAAAATGCAGCTCCAAGTTGATACCCTCCCTGTTTGTAAAACACTTTCTCGCAGGTCATTCACTTCATGTGCCATCTTAGTGCCAAGTTTCACCCACTCCTAGACCCAGTTTAAGCCAAGAATATCTTTAAATGCCTTGCTCAGGCTGAGACTGCAGGTGTGTACTCACCTAAGTTGGGTGTCTTTTCAGCTGGAAGGTATAAAATAGCTCCTCATCCGGGAAGAGTCAAGTGTGGTGATGGTTAATGCCACGCAGAAACTGGATCACTGGAATTAAACACATGTAAAACTGAGGAGGATGGGAGCAGGTTTTGCCTTGAACAAACAATAAAGCGGTTTCTAGATGTTTGTACATCATATCCCTGTGCTGGATGTAAGAGCCTGTCCCATCTGGAGGGCTAAACCAGTCAGATGAGGTTATTGTGAGAACAGTTTTGGATCAGGATCAGAACATCCTCCTCCACCATGCTTTGCAAATGGTCTGCCTCTAGTTTGTCATGCGGAGGCATGAGCTGCCTGTCAGTGAAATGAGCAGAGTACTGAGGGATTTCCCACGCGAGATGGTCCAGACACCACGGACCCACATGAACCCATTCCAGATGTCCCAACAGCCCATACTGACACGTGGCACGAGCATGCCCAGATGACAGAGGGAGCTGGAAGAGGTTTCACACTTGTCTTTAATTCCCAGCTTTGTAGGCTATTTGGAAAACACCCTTCTGGAGTTTATGCCAGATTTTGGGAATCTGGGAAGCACTAACAAAAGCAAGACTGCCTGGTTTGGGCCGTTGCATGCTCTGTGACACATAAGGCACAGGGTAATACCCTCTTTATCTTATGTGCATGTAGAAACGGTGTTTGACCATAATGCGCAGTTGCATCAGACATACCCTACAGATCGAAGTCTCCAGACAGGGCACAGCAGCAGGCATACACACAAGGCTGACCAAAACCAGTGTCATCTTCCAGTACTGTCACAAGGGCAAGAAGCAAAAGGACTCAGAACAAGAATGCAAATGCCATACTGGGCAAAAGGCAATCTAGCTCGGTACTTGATCTCTACCAGAAGGCATGGGCAGGCTGTTTAAGGGAGAATATAAACCCCAGGTTCTTCTATGACTGGTCTTTCCCTGGTCATTTTAGCCATTGATGGAGTCACCTTCTATTTACACATCTAAGTGTTCTCTGAACATATTTGTGCCTTTGGCCATTGTATTCCTTGTCAATGACTTCTGCAATCTGTTTAGCCACTCATGTCACAACTTAGTTCCTTTTATTTGTCTTAAACTTATTACCTGAAGGATTCTTCTGGTCCTCCTGACTCCAAAGGCTCCTGATGAGACCTGTTCAGGGAATTTTTCAGTGCAATTTCATTGGGAAAGGTCAATTAAATTATACTGAAATTTCTCATAAGAAGAATATAAGAGTTTCCACAAGAGTATGTTCTCAGGACCTGCAAGGAATTTCTTCTTCCACTGCACTCCTATCCTGTTTTTGGTGTTACCATGTATAATGTGGGGTACCTGGAGTTTCACACTACGTGCAAGTATTTAATCATGTGTACAAAATCAAATGCTTCCAGAAGGACAAGCTACAGATGCCATCCATTGTATCTGAGTTAGTACACTCAGACCCAGCATGGAAGACTCTGGTTCCTGTCCATGACCTGAATAAGGTAGACTTCAACTTTGGTTTCCCATCTCACAGCCACATGACATCAGCACTAGTTTATTCGGAGGTGACTGAACTTCTTGTTCTGGGTTAGAATAGCCATGTGCTTGTTCTAAACTAGAATAGATATGAAACCCCTTTCCTAGTTCTACTGTCCTATGTGCACTTCTTGCTCACTTGACCTTCACTCTTGAACTCCTACATCCCCAAATATGCCTTTGCTTCTCCAGCTGACATCTATGTGCCTTCCCCAAACTTACTTCTTCCCTGTGCCTCCATAACCACTGAACAAGCTTTGCCCTATCACTGCAGTTTGGAACCTGACACTGCAGGCAGTTTGGAACCTGACACTCTCTTTCCCTGACACCTTGGGTCTAACTCTGACAAACGTGGATGGATACAGTATAGATCTCATCTCAGCCACTCTCATTAGGAAACCTTTACAGTCATAATAAGAAATAGGAATTTCCAAGGTGTGATTCAGATTATCCTGAAGTGAATCACTAAACTGGAATATAATAATAATATATATATTTAGATTGGATATAAGGAGAAAATTCTTTCCTGTTAGAGTGCTGAGGCACTGGAATGGGTTGCCCAGGGAGGTTGTGAATGCTCCATCCCTGGCAGTGTTCAAGGCCAGGTTGGACAAAGCCTTCGGTGAGATGGTTTAGAGTGAGGTGTCCCTGCCCATGGTAGGGGGTTGGAACTGGATGATCTTAAGGTCCTTTCCAACCCAAACCATTCTATGATTCTATGATTCTATGAATATGAAGACTAAATCATGTCACCATCTATAGTGTAAATACTTAAACTCAGTTAAAAACCAATAATCACATCTTCTGTCTTTGCTGTCTTCTCTTGGCCACAAGAGAACATCATGCAACCCAATTTGTTCCTTGCCACTTTGGGTGCTTTAAAAGGAGTGAATACTTTCTTTCCATTCTTAGTTTCAATAGCACTGTCTTATGATGCTCCTTTTTTTCCTCTCCCTTTTGAATGGGCATGTTTCACACCAGTTACACCAGCTGGTATCCCACAAACCTCCTACCCTGTAGTCCTGCTACCTAGGCCCTTTGTGAAACCAGTTAGGGATGTTCTCAGATGACTGAAGTGACAAGTAGTGCTGTTTGTACAGACAAACCTTTCAGGTACCCCAAATATTAATTCAACCTTCTGGCATAGACACGGCCTCCCCGCACAGAAACATAATGATACACACAAATAAGAAATCAACTTTCCGCAGCTAAATCAAAGCTGTGGAAAAAGGTTTTATTCACCATTTCAGGAACAAGCATTTCTTATAAGCAGCTTTTGTAAGACTTCTCTTTGCCCTTTCAAAAGGATGTGGGGAAAGAAGTGGTAACATCTTGGGGCTTCCTCTGAGAACACCCCATCTCACCTATCTGAATAAGAATCTGAACCCCAAATTCATTGCTCTGGTGTTAAAATGGCCTGGGACAGTCCCTCAGGCAGGCAAAAGCCATTTAGAACTAGAGTAATTCTGAAAGCTTTTTAGGTAAAGAGCTGAATTGGTTTTTGTCTGAGCAAATCTGATGTATAAAGAGGTAGCCCCATCAGAAGGTGACATAACCCAGATGCCACAGTGACTTGACACTGACTTTACAGCACTCTAGAGAGAGGAAGCAACTTCCCCTTGATCAGGCAACACCCAGGACCTCTCCTGCATCACTGAACACTCAGAAATGCCCCATCCCACTTACCTCCCCCTAGACAAAATGAAATGTTGTCCCCTATGTATCATTCATCAAAGCCAGGCCCTGTAATTAATAGCACCATTTGTTCAGGGGATTTCAGCAGGTACTGAAATCCAAAGCATCAAAGCATGGACAGTCTCATCCTGGTCTGGCAGATATAAATATGCCAGGATGACTTTCACAGACACTTGACTCGGGAATCACTGTCCCTCCAAAAATGGTTTTAAAGGTCTTTCAAAGCACTGAGATACTGCAAACTGTGTTCTCAGTTCCAGCACAGATGACACTAAGAAAACAGTGTTCTGTGTGGAACCACGTTTCTGGGGGGTTTTTGAGACAAGATTTTGGGCTGGAATTGTCTTCACAAGAAAAGGGAACAGGCACAATTACAACAAATACCAAAGCTCCAAACAGACAATAAACTTGGAGTAGTGAGGTACAGCACAGGCCTGGTTGTGCTGCCTTTTCCTTTGGCAACACCTCCCATCACAGTAGCAGAAACAAGGGAATGGTTGCTGCGAAAAGACTATTGTCCATATCAGAGGTTCAGTTCAGACTTTACTAAGTGACACAGGACTTAGGCAGAAACCTTAGCACTGCAGCATGGAATGGTTCAGCCTAGCACAAGATCTGAGCCTCCTTCTTAAAACTCCTCAGCTTCTCTGGGGCTGTATTTTGGGGCCTGTGGTTTTTCAGCAAAGTGGAATTTAAAGAAGAAAACCTTGGTTCATTACATCATGGCTCCAGGAATATGTAGGAACATTTTACATCGGATCACATCTCCCCAGATTACCTTCTGAGCGCCTTGTGGTCAAGTCACAGGGCTGGAAACACAAGAGTGATGTGAATAACCACTGAATAGCTCATAGATCAGTTCTCTCACGATGCTAGCAGAGAAACTTGGGAGAGGCATCACTCCCCCTTCAAGGGAACGTGGTAATTAGCTGAAGGAGCTGCTATGCCTATGGAGATACAGGAAGAATGGACTGGAGTTAATGCATGCTTCATCTCACTTCACAGGAATTCTGCACCCAAGGTTGCCTGCAGTGCATGAGTATTGCTCCTCCTTATCTACTCCTCCATGTCTCAGTTTCCTCTGGGCTTATTACCCCGTCTCTTGCCTGTGTGGTTTGGAAGGTCTCTGGTGAAAGAAGGAGAAAGACCCATCTTTTGCTGTGAGTTGGTGTGAGGTTTTGCTCCCAGTCCTGGTTCTTTTTAGAGGTGAACCTTCCTTAATGAGAGGGTTCACATCTGAAGCTTCACTAGATGGTTAGAGCGGATGGTCCCTTCCAGCCTTACCTCTTTCAAACCCACAGAAAAACGGCAAAGCAGAGGGAGATGGAAAATGCCAAGCTGCACGAGGAGAACCTGAGGTAAACTCTTCCAAGAAACCATTACTTTATGGGGAATCTCTGTTTCATCCTTGTACGTTCTGCCTTCGGGAGACACTTAGTTTCGCAATCTATTATTAGCTGGCTAAGCCCTGTGCTTTGGTGGAGTACTGTACTCTGCCTTTCAGAGACAAAGTGTGAACCTTAAATCTCCAAGTAAAGCCGTGTAAGCACAATCTGTGCATTTAACAATGCAAGGATGGGCAGGAGGCAATCTTAAAACTCTGACCTCAGGTGACTTCTCAAGTCAAAGACAAATTGAGACACAAGCAAGGATTCTGAGTGTGCTTATATTCACTGGTTCAGGCTGCTTCTCATCGAGCAATGTCACCGTGAGACTTTTATTCAGCTGAGATAACAGAAGTGACAGGAGCTTTTGTTGGGATTGGCCCTTAAGCTTCCCTTGTCACACCATAATTAGCTGGATTGCTCTATTACAGTTGGGGTATTTCATCTGCAAGTGCATTTGGATGGCTAATTCAAAGAT